GGGTCAACCCGCTGCCGTCAAGGTCTTCAACGTTCCCCTTTTCAATGCCCCCATCTCCCAGAAGACCTTCTTCAAGGGTGACAAGGTCCAGCTGAAGTGGAACAAGCAAGGCTCCAGCCTGCTGGTCCTTGCGCAGACCGATGTCGATCGTTCCGGCAAGAGCTACTATGGCGAGACCACGCTTTATCTGCTCAGCACCACTGGCGCGTTTGATGCTCGTGTGACCCTAGATAAGGAGGGCCCCATCCACGACGTGTCGTGGTCTCCAAACTCGAAAGAGTTTGGTGTTGTGTACGGTTATATGCCGGCCAAGGCCACCATCTTTAACCACCGGGCCGTTGCGACGCACACGTTCCCCCTGGGTCCCCGAAACACCATCATCTTCTCACCGACCGGCCGGTTCGTCTTGGTCGCCGGCTTTGGCAATCTTGCTGGCCAAATCGACGTCTACGATCTCGAAAGGGACTTCCGCAAGGTCACCACCATCGAGAGCGGAAACCCCAGCGTCTGCGAGTGGAGCCCCGATAGCCGCTACATCATGACTTGCACCACTTCGCCGCGACTCCGCGTGGACAATGGCATCAAGCTGTGGCACGTCAGCGGAGGCATCATGTACAACGAAGACATGGTTGAGCTGTATCACGTTACCTGGCGCCCGAATCCCCCAGACAAGGTTGTCAGTGGTGACCCGCTGACCCCCATCCCATCCGCGCACTTGTCGGCCACGACTTACCTTGGCTCGGTCAAGACCCCTAGCAAGCCGGCGGGTGCGTACCGCCCTCCCGGTGCACGTGGGCTGGCTACACCTCTTCACTTCAAGCGTGAGGACGAGGGCGGTGCTGCTCACCTTGTGAGCAACGGGACCCCTAACATTGGTCCCAACGGCTTCGGCCGTCAGCGCCGCGCTGTCCCTGGCGCTGACTTTGCCGATTCGGCCCCTTCGGGCGGGAAGACCATCCCTGGAGCTGAACCCATTGGCGATGAAAACTCGTCCAAGGCAAAGAATAAGAAGAAGCGCAACAAGAAGGCCAACCAGGGTGAGGGTCGACCTCAGGGCGCCCAGGGCGAGCCCAACGGCGGAGCCAGCCTGGTTCCTCCTCCTCGGGACTTTGGAGCTGGTTCCGGAAGTGAAGGCCGCAGCCCCGAGCGACGAGGCCCAGGCGGTAACAACGCCCATAACAGGAGCCAGTCTCGAAACAACGGTGCCCGCAGCCGCAGCAACACGCAGCGCGGAAATGGTAACGCCAACGCCAACGGAAATGGAAATGGCAACTTCGTCCCTCAGCAGGGTGCTCCCCCCGGCCTCGACCAGAACCCCAATGCGAAGAAGATCCGCAGCCTTCAGAAGAAGGTCCGCGCCATTGAGGACCTGGAGATGCGTCATGCCGGCGGCGAGAAGCTGGAGGACACCCAGCTTAAGAAGATCCACACCAAGTCCTCCGTGCTTAAGGAGCTGGACCAGTTGGAGAAGGAGAATTGATGGCGGCACCTGTTGCTGGCTTTCAAGTAGCCCCTAGAAGACATCTCGGGTGATCGATCTGGGCACTCTTTGTGGGAAATCTACATGATGGGGATTGGGAAGACACTGGATTGGGACATTGACCAAAATGAGCTCACGGCGCTGCGTCTACTTTCATATGTCCTCGTTGGACAGCGCACATGGTGTAAATGGGCTGGAGCCATCTCACCACAATGTGGCCTAGTCAAGGTTGGATTATGGAGGCGAGGACGCGACAATAGGCTTCATGCGGCGAATCAGTGCATCCAAGGTGGATGGTGGATAGAAAAAAGGCAAATGAATGAATACTATAATCCAAGAGTTGCGCTTTGAGTGTCTCGTGTGATATGTCATGTGGTTGTCACGTAGCTTAGATGGTGTATGCACTTGCTTGCTTGACCGCAGCTTACCCTACAACGACGTGCAACTAAAGTAAACAGCATTTAGTCGTGTGGAGGTCGACCGACTACAATTGACATCGCGTTTGATGTACTCAACCGGGACAGCCTTGAGCGATACGTTCAGGTGCTTTGGTATAGGATTATGATTGTGACTTATAATTGACATCTGATTCATGCTTTAAATTCCTTAAAATAACGACACAGCAAACCACTGGTTAACTATAGAACTTTCCTGCTATTTTTAAGATGGGAAAGACTAGACGCCATATAGCTAGCTAACAGACTCATTAGGAGGTTAACGTTCTTTGGAGTGTCCAATCTCATTATACTCTGAGTTGAAACCAAGACATTTTTCTGACCGTTGATACCTACCTGAATAGTCACCCCCGACAGTTCTTGTGGTCTCAATTCGTTTTTGGCGTTGGGTTTGAGTTGTCGTTGCTTTAACTTGAGTAGAGGGTGATCTAGTGGGTGAGCAGGCAAGCAGGGTAATCAGTTTGGTATCGTTTCAGGTCCTTGCTTGCTTATGTCAGCACACAGTTACTGACACAGAAGGCAATACGGTGCCAGTACCCTTTGATGTTGACTTGATCGCTCTGAAAGAACTCCTTCGCCGATTCTTGGTCACTTGCGTTGCTGGAAGAGTACCAGCCGTCTTGATCCCTGCGGCCACGGTCAATTCTTCCAGTGTGAGGGGCCGGGCAGCGAGAACGACCCATTGAAGAATGGGGACCAATGCTTCCTTGTCGCCGATCTGCTGAAGAAGCCGCTGATAAATCCCATCCAGGCCTTTAGGAACATGGCGGAGAACTTCATCGATTTTGGTCCAACTCCTGCCCTGAAGCTCATTGGCAACGAATCCAACCCACAGAAAGGTCCCATCAGCGCCAGCCAGCAAGGTCTGCTGAACCTGCGCGACCATCTCTTCGGAAAGGTTTTGCTCGGATGCCAGTTTGGCAACTTTGGCGAAGATGTATCTCTCGACACCATGCGAAATTTCCGTGTCGGAGGTGTCTAACTGGAGCTGCTGATATTGGCCGAGTTTGCTCTCCAAACAGCCGGCTGAGGTCGGGAGAGGATAATGAGCTTCAGTCGTGGCCTTGCCTTCTCCCCAGACTTCGACAAGTGATTCCCAACGGCATCGAGAAGCTGCCTAAGTGATTCCTTTTCGCATTCATCTAGACCACCCAGAACACAGACTACCTGGGAAAACCTGCTCTGCTGAAGTAGGGCTAGGAAAACCCTCCACAACGAGACAAAACTGGAAATGGTCTATCTGGTTGTTTCCGTCCCCTCGAAGGAGTTCTTAATGTCTTTGGCCAGATGCGGATGGAGGTCGATCCATTGATGCAGGATGCCTCTGATGATGGTCAATGCGGTGTTCCGATTCTTGTCGCGGTTACTGCACGAAACAAAGCAAGAGGGAAACCTCTTTCTTCATCTTGCATTTCCACTTACTCTCAAAGTCCGCATTACACTATCATCAGGCACGACAGCAAATGACATCCGCTTCCCGTCTTCGAGTTCCGCCCCCGCAGCCGCCAGGCGCGCACAAAGGGCGCGGAATGGAATCCATCAGCGACACCGCATCCAAGGCCGGCAAGGCAGGACGCCCAGTTCTTCTCTCGTTCGATGAGATGCCGGAATGGTTCCGACGTGAATCCAACCAGTGGATTCTCCATGGCTATCGGCCCATCTCAGGCTCGGCTCAAGCTTCGTTCTGCAGTTGGTCGTATATCCACAACGAGTCGGTCAACATCTATTCCCACCTCATCCCGGCCGTTTTCTTCCTGCTCGGCGAGTGGTATATCCAGCAGTACCTTGCCAGCAGATACTCCGGGGTCACCGGCGCCGATTTCATTTCTTTCTCTATCTTCATGTTGACGGCCGCCACGTGCCTATCGCTATCGGCGACGTACCACACCTTAATGAACCACTCCCAACACGTGGAACATTTCTGCCTGCGACTGGACATGCTGGGTGTAGTGATCTTCATACTGGGCGACCTTGTCTTGGGAATATACATGGTTTTCTGGTGTGAACCTTTGCCACGCAATATCTACTGGTCTATGGTTAGTTAATCTCTATATGCACAGTTTTGTTTTTCCTTATCTCAGAGCTGGTACTTGAGTCCAACACTCTTCTTTCCTCGGTTGATAGATTTGAGTTTTCGGGACGTTGACCATTTTCATGACAATGCATCCCAAGTTCCAGGGCCCAAAGTATCGCCTCTTCCGAGCATTGATGTTCGTGGCGACTGGCTTGTCCGGTGTTGCGCCCTTGATCCATGGACTCATTGTGTTCGGCATGTCGCAGATGATGAGAAAAGCTTTTCCCTATGCTCTGGAAAAAGCAGGCTGCCTTCTATCTGGGACTTCGTTTTATGCAGTAAGTCTCCCAATTTCGCACACAAGAGAGAAATTGACCCTGACACATGTGGTTCTGAAGACAAGGTTTCCCGAGAGTCGATATCCTGGTAGATTCGACCTATGGGGCTCCCATTCGATCTTTCACATTCTGGTGGTATGCGCCGCTGTGGTCCAGTTGATGGGATATCTGGATGCCTTCGACTATGCTCACACAAATCTTACTTGCTCGTCTCTTTGAGTTATGTATACATGCCGAGTATGGAGCTTCTGCCATTCTGCGGAGAGATCAGGTGGGCGACGCGAAACGACGGCCGGCGACGCGGAGATGTTGGGAACGAGGGAGCATGGCGAAGGTCGGTCGGTGGGAGCAGATGCGGCCATTTATAGTGCGTGGGGCGGCCATGAGAGCTGGTGGCATGGGATGGCAGCTATGTCGGCGGCAACGAAGCACGGGAAACGGTCTCCAGGAAGTTGGTCCTGGGCTTCTAACGGAAGTACTTGGTACCTGTGGACCGCCCTGCAGCTTGGGGACTCCCGCACTGCAAGTGCCTGCTAAAACGGCGGCAGACTCTACTAAATGCGGCGATACTAGCAGCGTATTCGTGGATGACTACCTACCTAGGTAGGTAGCCAGTCAAGGCGAGATGGCAACCACCACCCCACACCAGAACTCTGTTCCTTTGTACTTCGCAATATCGAGCTGCCACCCCATCAAACAAGCCTCGTTTCGAGGCCCGGTTAGCTCAATCGGTAGAGCGTGAGACTCTTAGGAGTACACAACATCTCAAGGTTGCGGGTTCGACCCCCGCATCGGGCTATTCCTATACAAACTCCCTAAGATTGGGATTGAGCAAATCTTTTTTTGCTTGGGGGGACAATTTCTTTTGGTACTTGCTCGTGCGCTACTGTTAGTTGGCTGCTGTATGAGTCTGGCTAACATGGTACAATACATACGGAAGCTGCGTGTCAATGTATACCTCATGATGTGCAATTCTCAAGTACATGAATTCTTTAGTTCCAGGTGTATTCATTCATGTCATAATGTTCTTTTTGTCCTACATACCTAACATTTGACACCTTGGATACCTCAGGTATTTCCCACTCGTGACATGTTGCCCGTCAGTTTACATCGAACGTCAAGGGGCTTCTTTCTTGACCTTTCAAGGCTTTCATACATCCGTCCCACTCTACGAGCCCTCTTCGCCAAGTTGTAACGAAGTTGGTATCTGGTATCCTTACTAACATTAAACTTTTATACGCCGATCCAAATGCTGCCGTATCCATCCCAGTCGTCTCAAACAGGGCAGACCCCTGATTACGCCTCGAGTGTCTTAGACACAGCCGTCTTCTCCGAAGGATCCGCCGGTCTTTCCAAAACTCCTCCCTCACTTTTGTCGCCACCTTCGTCTTCCTTCTCCCGTCTCCTCTCGAGCCTTTGCTGGTATTTAGCCCGCTTCGCATCTATCCTGTCCTGATCCTCGCGCAGTTGGCGGATGGTCGGGCTCTTGGCCCGAATCTTGGACCCGTACCGCCAGAAGACGAAGGGAATCGGAATCATGGCCACTTCGAGGAGGCCTAGGAGAGTACCAGCCCACTGCGGCGTCAACACCTCATACATCTTGGGCCCAGCCAGCGGCAGCACGGCTCCGAAGATGCTTCGAATCACTGCGTTGCCAGCCAGAGCACTGGCGGCATAGATGGAGTAGGTGCCGGCAATGTAGTTGGCGCCGTAAATGAAGCTGAGCGTGTTTCCGGCGCCGAAAGGAATGCCAAACGCAATCGGGATTGCCCAATGAATGGTGTTCGGGAGACAGGTCCACGAGAAGACGAGCTGGCCGATTGGTGTGAGGATGGACCCAATTGCCATGATCAAAGCCATGGCCTCGGGTAGGACCCGACCAGTTTCGGGATCACGAGGTTGTGAGTTGATGATCTTTCTCATTAGGGGTTCGGCGATGATTGCGCACATTGTTCCTATTCCGATGCCGGCGAACGAAAGACCCGACATGCCTGGATTCCATCCACGATGCTGCGAGAAAACGATGGGATAGGCGACGAAGCAGAGGTATAAGATGCCGTAAATCACAGAGATCCTGTAACGAGTTAGAAACTAAAGGTATGGTATGAGATCAGGTGCGGGCCTGGAGCAACTCACCAGATGTTCAAGAACCATAAGATGGGTTCCGTCGCAAAAAGGATGAAAGGACGGCTCAGGTTGACCTTCATGAGATGCAGGGTGTCCAGCTTCTGATCAAACCGGCACCAATATCGCGGATCATCGCGTTCTTTGCGCATTCGGGCGGCCTTTCGCTTGAGGATTGCCGGATGATATGTCTCTTTACACGTAGCTAAACAGGCCAAACCTGTTCCTCCAAGAATCAAGACGATCCAGTTGTCCCATCTCCAGCCTAGATACTGGTAGACGAATCCTCCGATGAGTGGTCCGAGGGATGGTCCGTTCAAAGGGGCAATTGACCAAAGGCTCATAGCAAGGGCCAAATACTCTGGATCGGCAATGTCGACAATACTTCCGGGACTGTTGGAGATCATGGCGGCGCCAAAGAGAGCTCTAAAACACCGCCGTTGTTAGCTGGGTTTCTCGTCACTGGGAAAGTTGCCATATCTTACCCCACAAATCTCACGACAAGAATCTCAGTTAAAGAAGTCGCCAGGGCGCACGGAATGATGAGCAATGCCCAAATGGCCAAGCAGACCAGGTAAACGGGTTGGCGGCCATACAGCTCACTCAACGGCGCAACGACTAGGCTGCCCGCAGCGAGACCGAGCAGGTAGGTCGTCAGGCCCAACGTGACGCTGGTTGTGGTGGAATCGAACTCCTCGATCAAACCGGGAAGGGAGGCGGTATAACAGGTGCTGTATAGAACGATAACCCATGTTGAGAAGGAGACGGAAAAGGTGATCCAGGAGCGGTACAACAGCGACCAATTCCTGGGATTCTCCGGGTCACCCTCCTCGAAAATGACCTCAAAGTCCGGTGGTCGGGAAGCGACACTCGCTATACTGGTGCCAGTCTTGGTGTATGTGATGGGTTCGCGGGCCTCGCGCTCAGCTTCTGTCTCGACGTCCGGGGTGAGGGCATGTTCCAGAGCCTCAAACAAGTCTGAATCATGTGAACGCCGGGTCGCAAAGCTGCGGCGACTGCGCTGTGTGTCGACGGTCTTGATGGGTTCCAAGACGGGCGAGTTGGTCGACGAAGAAGAGGAGGACGACGTCTCAGCGTGGACGGCGGCTGAAGCCCTTTCGGGATCGTCTGACATGGCAGACTCGAGGGAAGGCGACGGTCGAGCGTGCAGAGATTCGCAGACAGCGATCGACACAAGACGAAGAAGACGACAGTCAGACTGACTAGAAACAATCTTGGGACCGGAGCAGTGATAAGAACGATTCCTTGGCGCTGGATTAGCTGGGTCCTTCAACAAGGACCCTGGGCTCTTAGACGGTTAGACCGACCGATGCGGCACCGATGCCGAACTGGTCACCAGGGACAGACAACGCTCCAACACTCAGTTGGTGGCGGGCATAGCGCCGGACATTAATTATTGGAGCCGGGTGGATCGAGAGTGGAGGGCATCACTGGTTTCCTCCACCATCCTCCACCAAGAAATCTCTGCCCCACGTTGTAAGCTGGGATGTTGAGATTGCAGTTCCTTTGTGAGTCAGGGATGATATCGCCAGGGACTTTCGGAACCAGGATTGAATTATGACATTTCAAAGGGCGTGAAAACGATCTGGTTGGCAGTGTATACTTCGCACCAACATGCCGTCGCAACCTTCAATACGAATGACAGACGAGGGGCAGACTGGGTCATGCCGAGGCCGGCTGCAATGCAGCAAAGACTGCAGCGCATTCACTAACCTTCTATGTCAGCGAGGTTCGTCTTCTTATATGAATGGGAGAGGAAGCCAGCTGGCGCAAGACAACACACGTTCCGGGAACCAAGTCTATCATCCATGACATCTGGATTTCCGTGAACGTAGTGACAGAAACAAGCGATCCATCTACTCACATTTTCTTTGAGAGATCCGTGAGATGTCTGGTCGTCGCTTGGTTTTACAGTACCTCCATGGCAAACGTCGGCCGATGGCTGCTCCCACCGACTCGGTGCCGAAAGCCGTTTTCGGCCGGGACACCAACCTCAGCTGATGACTAAGCTTCCCAGGATGCGCGCGATCGGATCCGCGATTCTGGAAGCTTGGGCATAAATCACTCCATGACTCGGGGGATCGATCATAAGATTGGGTTTTCTCTGTGGGCCGCCGCGAATGATAAGGGATCAACATCCGATTCGTTCCGCCGCGATATTATTCTGTCTTCCATCGTAACTTCAGTACCGTCACCCCGGCTTCTACGAAGTACGTACTTCGTGTTACATAACTCCATCTGTGGAATGGAATTGACCAAGACTCCTACCAGCACTGCGCATTGAAGCGGCCTTCCTACAGTGACGGGCCGCGCCGACTCTGCGGCCCCACCCGGGCCCGGACCCGAAGTCTATCTAAAGCTTTGGGAAAGGGTTCCGAAATATGAGACGGAGATGTCTTTAAGCAGCGCAGTAGTTCATCGTTCAAAATTCATGAAACGACCATTAGAAGGTGTATCTATAATTTACGTCGTCCTGGATGGCCACGCCATCCCGATCTGCCTTGGTATTCTGTCTCCTAAACCACCACCACATCAACGCTACGAGCACAATCAACAGGAACTGCGTCGCCACGCTGCACCAAACGCCGGTCCGGTACGTCGGGTACTCGGTCTGCATAAAGGTGCACGACGCATAGACGCCCCCGACGGCTGCAAAGAGCATCTGCACGCCGCTGGCGACAGACCGCCGTGAGGCCCCTCGCACGTTGTTGGACTGGAAAGCGATTATGGTCGGGAGGTTACCGTTGCATCCCGAAACGCCAAGGAAGACCCCTGGTTAGATAGAACAGTTCATATCAGCAAGGGGCTAGCTCAAGGGAATGGAGAAAGCTCACCAAAGTATCTCACCGCGTTGCTCTCATGATACGCCGTCAATAGCAACCCCGTCAGCGTAATGGCCGCGTTCAACACCATCCACGGCATCCGCACCCTCGACCGGTCAGCGAACCACGCCACGCCCAGCGTCCAGATGATACTGAACAAATACGGCGGCGCACAGAGCAGGAACACCACGGCGGTCGAGTACCCCAGCGTGGTGAGGATGATCTGGATAAAGTACGCGAAGGCGTAGATGGGCGCGCTGCAGCACAAGAACATCAGCCCGTACACCCAGAGCTCCCACCGGAGGCCCGTCTGCACCACCTTGCGCAGTGTCAGGGCGTCTGGCTCCGCGTCGCCCCTGTCGCGCTCCACGCGGTCGAGGATGGTCTCGAGTTCCTCGCGGGTGAATGATGATTTGGCCCCGGATGCGAGTAGTTGGTCGGGGAACGGGAGGGTGAAGGCGTAGCCGATGAAGGCAAAGCCGACAGTTATGGTTCCTTCGATTCTGTGAGATGCGTTAAGAACCGTGGACTTGTGAATACTTGTAAGGGGCGGGCTTCACTTACATGAATATCCAACGCCAGCCAGCAATGCCGTGGGTGCCGTCCAGCTTGATCAAAGTATACGCCAGGATATTCCCAAACGCCGAGATGAACAAGTTGATCATGTACCAGAGAGCCATTCTAGGACCAGGTCAGCTTCTCACTCCCTCTTATTTGCACAAGTAGCTCCAGAGCAATTTACCTCTGCTGTACCTCGTAGCGTTGGTACCAACTACTGAGCAGATACATACAACACGGCAAGAAGCCCGCCTCGAACACGCCGATGAGCAT